TACGATTGCGGTATGAAATTGGTAATCTATATTGTTGAATAGCTTGTGGTAAGAAAACTGAGTATGAACCACTAATAAATGGAATTCTCATGTGGCATATTGTCCTATTATACAACTTCTTAAACTATATTTTATACAGATATGAAAAATTTCATTTTATCAGGGTTTGGGGGAGAGTGGTTCTATTTGAAATGGTTCTGTTTGGTTATTAGAATGGAATGGTTGATAGGTTTCTGGTTTGCCAAACACCAGTTGCAATCCAAAAATTTAAAATGGAGGGAAATGGTCGCTTTGTATGGGGAAATGAAATGGTTCCATTTTTGCCAAACAGGGCCTGAAATATTGTCGACTTCTCCTGAAATGGTATGGGAGAAATAGAGGGGGTGGGTGCATGGGAAGAAAGAAAGGGGGTTACGACCCAAACACTCTTTACCCAAACGAACCCGGGGAGCTGTTGACCTACCAATAGAGCTCTCCTTTCACGGTGCTCTCCTTCTCACGAGCCTTCCACATCATCATCGCAAACTCCCTGACAAGATGGACCGGTCTCAGCCCTCGACACCCAATGTGCAAAGGATTTTCTACCCCGCCATTATCATTGAGAAACAATAGGAGCCAGAGGCCAACAAGGTCCGTGTCGGGTCTAAGCCCGTGTTGCCTCAACCATTGCCTCTTACCATATCGTGACCCGCCGTCCATGAACTGTACAAGTGTGTCATGAAGTCCGCACATGTGCTCGTGAAAAATACCATCCTGGGCGGATTCCAGCTGGTAATCCGTCACATCTAGATACACGGCGTGAAAGATTGCGAAAACCTGCCTGAATATTGACTTTTCGGGGCCGGAGAAGGTGTCGATAAACTTACCGAATCCGGGCGGAAGTTCGTACTTTGCGGTTTCGGGTAGCACGCTTTTGAGGAGGAATCCGAGAAGTACTCGGAGGCGGTAGAGTGCTGACTTTACCTGCTCTAGGGTAATGGAGGGGGGTATGTGCTGACCGCTCGTCAGTTGAGCACCGAATCCAGACTTTTCAAATCTGGGGATGATGTCGAAGATTACCGTTGCTATGTCGGAAATGCCCTCATCCTGGAGTCTCAATGTCTCAACTAGATGGCCTTCCCGTGGAAGTGGTAGCTCGCTCGGCGGTGCACGCTGAACTTCCGCGATGATTGCTTCGAAGGGGGTGTTTAGGTGTTGCCCACTGAGGGATAGCGTGCGCGCCGTGAAAAGTGCTTGGTCGAAGGCCTCGATAGATGAGAGCGCTATCCCGCGCTGGATGTAGTCCCTATAGGCATTCTGGGTGTACCATAGGGTTTCCGAAGCGAGGCAGACATTCTCGAGTGTTTCAAAGCTGTCCAAATAGCTGAGAATCTTTGCTTGGATTGTGATGGGGAAAAGAAGGATGGGAATACTTTTTATGATGGCCATGATGGATTGCGTAGGGTTGTAATTGGCGGCGGGAACAGATGGTACTATGATAGATTGAGAGTGATGATGAAACGATGCTAGTGTGTTAGGGTGAAAAATTATTGAGGTTGCGATTTCTATTTATACAAAGTTGCGATTCCAAGTTGCAAGAGAAGCTCCGGTAAATTCAAGTCGAAGCATGCGAGGTGAGCTTCAAGATTGACTTGGGGAGTAATTCCGATTCAAGCTTCGGTATGTCGGACTGTTCTACTTCCAGCTCCCTACCAGCTGGATCTTGACAAGTTCCTTCTCCAACTATTTTCCGGACCCCGCTTTTCGCCTTCCTATTTAGGAAGGCGGTTACAGGATAAAACAACAAATAAAGCCTCATGATCCTACCCTACAAGACCAAACTTGGAGCTTCATATGCTTGTGGAATAGAACTTAATATGCGGTAAAAATATCATGACTGGTATCCTACTTCTATCAAATCATCCTCTTCCATAGTGACGTCCTCATCCACATAGCTATGAGAAGTAAAGCTACCATCTGATAGAGACAACTTGAATCTCCTTCTTCCCACTCAACTTGAACTGGTTGAATATCTCCAACCCCCCAGCACTGTGTTGCCTTCTGTTAGTCCTCCTAGGTGGTTGATACTCTGATAAAGCAGCCACCACCCTCAGGCTATGCCTTTGCTACTGTTATAATGTTCCTTGGATTTTAAACAATGATAAGGATTACTTGGCAGACCCTCTGACTCTGTTGTAGCTGGGTTGTGGAAAAATTAAAAAGATTTATCATGATAGCATTCTTCTTTATTTTGTTGTCTAACTAGAGGTATTGCCCCCCTATGCCTAGTACCCTTATTCAGGGAGGGGGGGGGGGAGATGTGCTGTTGGTTCCAGAACAGAAAGACTGTTGGATTAGAAGGCATTAGATGAAATTAGGGGTTGTTTATTTTGTTGGTGCTTTAGGCTTTCATGATAACTTTGGTCGAATGCAGTGGATGAGCCTGGGTCTTGTACAGTACTGTACCTAAATGGATCCAAGGACATAAAAAAGGAGCGTTTTCTTGATTCTTTTTTTTCCCTTTTTTTTTTTTTTGAGGATAGTACGTACTCTCAGAACTGCTGAGACAAAGACAACATTCAAAAGGTGCCGCTTTTGATACTCCGAAATCTATGCCAGTAACGTCCTCCGGCCGGGGTGACAGTCTCCCTAAAGGAAATTAAGTGTGCTGGGGTACGGCAGAGAAGAGCACATGGGAAGAATAAGGAAGTATTATTATTGTGAGATGAAATTTTGCCTTCACCGTTGAGTCCTAAGACTTGTATGATAAAACAAATTGTGATGGACAACCGGTGAGGTAGGGTGATAATCCGTGAGTTCGGGATCGCATGCCCCAAGTTGGAAGATCACATGTGTTGTGCGCATTTAGCTTAACTTTGCTCCACTCGTGCTGGAATCGTGGTGACGAGACGGTAAACCTTTGTTTGCTTTTTTTCCCATCAACCCCCCAACATCCACGGCTGATCAGCACGTCACTGATGGGCTCGCGAGATTCAAAAGTATTCGGACAACCCACAGACCCTAAAGCCTTGGTCATATATAAATTTGTATGAGATCTTGGCGCCTTGGCGTGAGACACATCCGGATACTTTTGTACAAGTATGATACTAGTACTAGTATCATACTCGTATTTGGCGTGTACCGAATTTCCCCATCCTTTACTCGAGTACTCGAGTAGTCGGGGGACGAACGGGTAGTGATGGCATGGATTAAATTTGGTATGAATAGTGCCGGGAAGGGTAAGAAGCTTTGACAGAGCTAACCGACGCTAGATAGGCTCGGCTTGGATAAAATACTCCCACCGGTATTTGAATTATTTGACATCTTGAACCCCTATCTTTCCCATCGGTTGACTGACGTCCACCCCCGAGTTCCTACTCGTATCAAGATCTTCCAAGGGGGCAATGTAAATTTATCGCTTGGCTGAGCTGCCGTGAAACCCTCTAGCCCGTTGCCAGGCGCGCCGGGGCCAGATTGGGTGGCAGTTAGCTATACTTGGTCAGGAGATAGGATTTCCCCGTCTTTTTAGTGCTCGAATGACTCAGCACTCGAGTGTAATTGAATATTCTCAGCCTCAAATCTTCTCCAAATCAGGTTTAGTGTGGCCGGCAAACGAATTTTGCTGTTTCACACCTCCTACGGGATACTCGCCTTTCTTGACACGCTTAGCGACCAGGGAGTTCTATTCGCCAGGATCCTGTCCCCACTGTGATCGCTCGCTGACTTGCCCGGGGTCTCCCAGAATTGAAGCTACTCGTAACAGTTGCACGTATCACGGTTGCCCTGCTGGACAAGGCTCTTAAAAGAGGGAGTGGTGACGGAGTTTGCGAGTGAGAATGAGTGAGCACATAATTGGAGCGCTCGGGAATTATCCGGATGCCAAGATGCTTGATTTATTCTCGGAATGCCCTCTCGAGCAACGACAAGGGTCTGATATGCCCCACACAACTAGAATGCCATCTCCGGCGTGTTCTGTATGAGCACTTTAGCACTATAACAGCCATCCCATCACCTTCCGGATCCCACTCGGCTGATACTCGTACACGTACATTCTTGAGTGGAGAGGCAACCTCCGGGGAACTAGCACTGCTACTCGCCAATCCGATACCCCCTAGGCCAAGGTGGCCGCGTTGTGCTAGTACGAATTGCACCTAATGTTTTTCTATCTCCCCATAATATGCAATACTGTATACTAGCTTGGTATTTCATTTGTGTGCTGTAGCTGCTATGAGAACTTTCTTATGCTTCTGGAAATAATTATTAGTTATCCTCAATATCCTCTTTCACGGGAACTCTTGGAGATAGTTTTTGGCGTTGTTTGATGCACAAAAAGCGCTGGTGAATTTTGTTATTGGGGAAAAAACAACTCCTCATGGCTTTAGAGGGCAACGTAGTTGTGTGCGGTAGGGCATATCAGATGCTTTTCCTTATCCGAGGGGGCATTTTGAGAGCCATCAGTTGGATATTACCTCTAAGCTTCTGGAAAGAGATAGTCAAGTGTCTTGATAGCTGTGCTAAATCGTGTTTCACGCATTGCTTCTCATACCGGCACTTTATCTTCGCCTTCGTGGATTCACATGGGGAAGGTTTCAAAGTAAGGCAAGGCTTTGGACCGGAGCCTACGAGTAGTCTTCAGTCGCACAGACCCTACTAAAAGTAGGACCGGCATCCTCCCTGTTATAATAACGATATTTTCCTCACGGAGCGGCCTTAAAACACTACCGTATTCGAGCAGGATAGTTGGATGGCATAGCACCACACAGGGTTATCCGTCGCCCCCTATGCGCAGTTCTGTATCAGGCAAATGCAGCCCAACAACGTCAATGATCATGAATCATAACCGTACCACAGCCGCACATGTGCGCACGTACCCTCTTTCCCCCGCGAAGGCGAGTATATAGGGGATGGTGCTTCCTTTCTTACGTTATGGTACAATAAGTTAGGCACTCTCACACCCAGCCCTCTCTCTCATCCCATCTCCATCCCATCTCCATCTAAACTCAACACAGAATTCATCCACAATGGCGAGAAGGGGCTATTATGCCGTTGCACGCGGTAAACCGCCAGCCCCGGCTATCTACTCTTCGTGGTTCGTCCTTCACATGAGTCCTCATGTTCGACGGGAGCAATTAGAGTATGATTTTGGAGATGAAAATCTGATTGTGGAATAGGGCCGCTGCGCAGGTCGTCACGCAGAAGTATCCCGACGTTATCTTCAAGAAATTCTCTACTTTCGAGGAAGCGCAGGCCTTCATGGCCGGGCATGGGGTTGCGAGGTATCGTGTTGAAATAACCTTTGATGTAACCTGCATGATGGAAGAGTCGCGCAGCCCTACCAGTGGTGGCGGGATCTCTCCTCCCCCTTCTCCTCGTTCTCCTGCCCCCCCCGCTCCCCCGGTCTCTAACCCTTCCGAACGGGGACGACGAGCGGGGACAGGAGTCGGTGGTGGAACAGGAGGGAAACAATTCTATGTTGTTGCGAATGGGAGTGGGAAGGGGGTCTATGAGTCTTGGTTAGTACCCTTCATTCTTTTCTTGGAGCTTGGTGAATGGGCCAGGCTGACTGAATTTGAATTAAATTAACTGGGAAAACAGGGAGCAAGCAAAAGTGCACATATTCGGTCAACCTGGAATATGTCACCAGGCCTTTGGCACACGCCAGGAGGCTGACGAGTGGTTGTGGGAGTATGGAAGAATGCAGGATGAGGTGGAGTACAGGGCCAATGCAAAGCAAGGATTGGGAAACCTCAGCGACCTTGCCAGGGAATTGCCGGAGCCGCAGTGAATTTCCTGCCAAAGGAAATTTCTGACCGGATGGTTTTTTCCCTTCGCTCCTTGCAGGAGTGGGGGGATTTCACCGCCGGTCGCAGCCCAGAACATCTAATTTTTCGAGGAATCTTTGTGGTGAATTTTCCTCTCGAGCTATCATGCATACGAGTACTGTGTATCATGCGGGGGCTTTTTGGCCTGCGATGCAGATGCAAGTATCCAGGATTTAACTGAACTACCGGCGATTCAGATGGATGCATTGGGAGCTGGGTTGGGTGGGCATGCTTTATCTGGTGTGGGGGGAGTTGGGCGAGCGAGGCTTTTGGGTTGTGTGCGAGGTTCTCGTAAAGGCTTCATTTTCTTTTTTTTTCACAAATGGGAGGTGTAGTCATTCTTTTTCATGACTGAAGTTTTTTTTGCTTTTTTTGCTGGATCTGTGCGATTTTGTCTACTGGGAATTCTCGTTGATTCGCTCGGCGATTTGCCGCATTGGTTTTATCATACAGCGATACTTGCTGTTTTAACGGTTATTGTTGGTTGCGTTTGAAATGTTCACTTTTTTTGCTCATGGGAGGTCTGTGCGACCAGCGGTCCAGTGAGCCCTTCTTGGCGGAGCTCATATCCTAACGGCTGCATGCATTGTCACTCGCTTGAGAAGTTGGGGTGAGGTTTGTGTGAAGTGTGTCATGGAACTTTGATGACGAAGAGGCTATATATTTAACTCCGGTCTAGCCCAGACTATTACCCATAAGCAGTATATGAAGAGGAGAGGCACTGCAGTATACTTGGATCTACCGTAAAATATCAATCTGCAAACTGGCCCACGCCGCGGGCGTAGTCTGATGTCTAGACCCCCCCACGTATCTAAATATTGCAGATTGAGCACGACATCCAGCCCGGGTATGATAAGGTACTTTAACACGGGTTTCGAGTCTGAGGGCGTAACTTAGTCTAGGTTTTAGACGTTGTCGTCGGGGTTTACCTAGCTGTTCTTATTTATTTCATTGAAGCTCAACTTCGAAAAGAAGGAAGGAATGAAGGCCAACATTCTAATCCTAGTCAGCCCTTAAATGAAAATGGAAATAGAAAGAAAAAGGGTATAAAGTCGGACCACAGCCAACGACATTTTCCCGGCATTCCACTCCCATCTCACACACGATACGTGGTTTGCGGCACGATTTTTGAGAAGTTTGAAAGTCGGGTGGTCGGCCTTGGTTAGTCTCGGTTAGGGTTTGGCACAGATGGACGAGTTCTACTGAGCCCCTCTAGCCGAGTGAAATAATCGGCGGTTTGGTGATACTTGATTACCCAAAAATTATTAATAGTATTAGGCCACCAGAATCAACTCCTTCCCAATAAATGCGGCAGTCAGTATCTTCTAATCCTCAATAAACGACAACGCCCCCGCCCCCTTGCGCTGAGAACCTTCACTGGCTGTCTTTTTCTCCCTTTCTTATTTCTTCCTCGTTTTCTCATCTTTCCCCGTTTCCATTCCGCCGCGCTCGTCACACTCATCCGACGCCTTATCAGCTGAGGGTGGGGATATAGGGGATGTTAATCAAGGTTTTGATACTGGAAGTTTCTATTGTCAGCCGAGTCATCTCGGTTATGATAGCTAATATCATACTGTTGCGTTGAGTAGTTCCGAGTGCGTCTTTTATATCACAACTTGTCACTCGCCAAACAAGCTATAATTTGGTCTCTCACGGAGGAACCTTCCATTTTTTTTGTATTCTCTCTCGATTTAGATCGGTTTTTGGATTCGAAATTACCCCAATCTCCGAGTTCAATCAACCCCCCCCTAAGGCACCACGATTCGATTCAATTAGCTCCTCTAAATCGACTCGATCCTAATCGTGCTGCACACTAACGATACATAGACCGTGTCCCTCCACCCTCCAAACCCTCGACATTGCCGCGACTAGCGCCAAAGCCTGGAACTCTTCAGAAACTCTAAACTCCATGGTATGCTACCGGTAAACTGCGGAGTATCAGCAGGTCGTGGAGTTTTTTTTTGATTGTCTCGGGGAGCAGGTTTTTGGTGTGTTTTTCGCCATCTTTCCGGAGGAGAAAATTTTGGGATATCATACCTAGAACATGGCCCTTTTATTCGAGGTCTTATGATACCGATACCGTAAAATCTCGTGGAATCCACTATCATACCTCCGTCAACCCTTTAATCCCGGATTCTGATGCAAAGCTCCGGAGAAGGGTCAGCGTTTTCCGGCAAAGTATAAGATTAGCCCCCCGCCGCGCTGGATTTTATTAAGTTGTGCTGTAATCACAATTGTTTTAAGTTGTCGAACCAAGCCTATCTTAGCTGGACGGAGGCATGATAATGGATTCCACGAGATTTTAGGGTACTATGTTTTGCAGGGTTGACCCCACTGCCCCGCGTTCAACTGCGATCGTCGCATCAACCAGGG